TGTACAGTTTACATGTACAGCAAAAATACATGGTAGAGGTATTTGAAAATCCCGTCGATCGTTGTTGTAAGGTCACTGTTTCCGAACCCGGTGTCCTCCACCTTGCTTCATGCCGTCAAACCACCAACAACAAAATACATGTACATGTACATGAGTATCGCCATTCCAAGGTGTAACCCTTTCCCAAAGATGCTCGCCACTTTTTTCGCAATTTTTGTTTGTTGTGTGTTTTTGGAAGAAATCGCAACTGTTTTTCTTTCGCAGCTTGCTTCATTTTCACAAACTACTTCGCAACTTTTCCGCAACTGTTTGCTGAGAAGCACCTTGGAGGAGACCATTGAACTGTCCGTGATTAGCCCTTTCCCAAAGATGCCAAAATGTTTCGCAACTTATGCTTTTCGCAACCATGCCAAAACAAGTGAAAGTTGCTGAAATCGCATCCATATTTAAAAAAAAAAGCACAATAGTTGCTAGTTTGGTTTGGTTTTTATTATTTTCAGTTCGTTGCCTCAACAGTACAAAGTACAGATATCAAGAGGGACGAACGAAAAGAGAAAATAAAACAGAGCAGAGAGGAAGATGCAACTGAAAGGAAAGAAAAACGGAGAGAAACGGAGAAGGAATGTGGACTGGGCGGATTCATGAACCATTACTAGAGCAGGGCAATGCATGAACAGAAGGGGCAAGTCCGTCGATATTCATGTTTAAAAAAAATTCCAAGCCTTATTTTATTGGTGAAATACATTTTCAAAAAGGAGGGGATATAGTGTCAATTTGTCGTCATTTAGAGCGTGCAAAAGTTCTGTAGAAAATGATCTAATGTCCTCACTTCCTTTCAAGTGAGCAGGGAGGGCATTCCACATAAGGGATGCTCTGGCGGAAAAGGAATTGTACCCTACCATGGATTTATACAAGCAAATTGACAAATTGTTTGTTGTAGTTCCACGAGTTGACCGCTTAGAGGTGGGCAAAGGGAAAAGACTGCGTAAGCATGATGCAGGCTGAACAATGTGACAAATGAACGTAAACGTAAGAAATTGATAAATGTATCGATATTCAAGGTGTTTTATTTGAAGAGAAGCAAGAAGGGGTGTAATAATAATATCGCAACTCAAAATGAGTGAGTTCTTGTGCGTAAATGATGCCAAAAACAACCAATAATTTTAAAGGAGCGGAAATGGAAAACACAACTGCCTGAGTAAAGTCAATCGTACTTTGAAGTACATATGAATGCATAATTATTTTCACAGCGGGAAACATGTTTAGGAAAATGAACAGACTTGGAATGAGTCCTTGTCCCGTTTTGTTGAACCTTTGCACAGCATTCATGACATAGCGGCATGCTCAGTCCTGCCACATGAGAAGTACACTTGTAAATGATGATTTTATGCAATGTTTCAGCGCTTCTTGTTGAAGCGGAGCTTCACGGACATTTCAATGGTCTCCTCCAAGGCGCTTCTCTGCAAACAGTTGCGGAAAAAGATGCGAAGTAGTAGTTTGTGAAAATGAAGAAAGTAACAGTTGTGAAAGTTGCGATTTCTTCCAAAGCAACAAATAGTTGCGAAAAAAGTGGCGAGCATCTTTGGGAAAGAACTAACGACGGGCAGTAGCCACTGGACTGAGACTGAGGGCGCGTTCGAATTGTCACTCTTCGACTTTTCGAGGAGTTTCGTTTTTCTGAATACAGTCAACTTCGCTAATAACGACTGCGGATATAACGACAATTCGCGAATAACGACCGAATTTCCATGCCCGGAGCAAAGTCCCATCTAACTGTACACATTTTACTTCGGATATAACGACTATGTGAATAACGACAATTCGCGTATAGCGACATGCTTTTAGTGCCCCGAGGTCATATTCACTGCTTGAATAACGACTTTCTGGGCTTTTGACAGCTATTTCAAGTACCTGTCAGTCAAGTACATGTACCTGTCATGCAGAAGTACCAGAACCTATGGTGATGGATATAATGCACACATGCAAGAAAATGCAGCCAAGGGGGGGGCTTTTCTTCCTTTTTATGTTGGCTTCAAAATTGTTGGATTTACCAGCACACCTACATGTATATGTATACAATGTACATAGCAGACTCAGCGGAGGACGTTCAGGTTGGTTGTAACTCTGAGTTTCATGCCGCTAGGCAATCATCAGACAACTGATACTCTGGTCTACCCAACAGTATGCTTATAAACACATAGGGCCACAAGCATAAACAAATTTAGCGCTAAATCTGGTGTGAGGTATGGGGAGAAAGCTGGCGCGGGCCAAGGCGCGACCGTGGAAGTGCCAGGAGGGTGGCGGGCAACAGGCAGGTGTGAGCATGAAAGCGCGGAAAGAGGCGATGGATACAAAAACAGCACTGAGCTCGCAAAACACGTATGGGAGCTGAAGAGCGAGGGAAAGCCGTTGACGATCACATGGAAGGTGCGGGAGAAGAGCCGATCATACAGATGTGAGTAAAAAAAATGCAATCTTTGTACCGCGGAAAAATTCCACATCCTGACTACACCCAAGAAGCTCCTACTCAACAAGCGGTCTGAGATGGTCTCGAAGTGCAGGCATGAGAATAAGTTCCGCCTCGCAAATTTCACACCTATCACATGAACTGACCAAGTACTGTACTGCACTTTGCCTGAGCACCCATTATTAAAATAACACAATCCCATGGCCTGTTGTTGGCGATGCCACTCTGCTCACGCCTGCCCGTCACCAAACGACTCCCTACTTGTAGTGATCTCACTGGGCCACTGTCCGCCACCCTCCTGGCACCCCCCACACATCTGCTGTACACTGCCTCCCCATCGCCTCTTTCCGCGCTTTCATGCTCACACCTGCCTGTTGCCCGCCACCCTCCTGGCACTTCCACGGTCGCGCCTTGGCCCGCGCCAGCTTTCTCCCCATACCTCACACCAGATTTAGCGCTAAATTTGTTTATGCTTGTGGCCCTATGTGTTTATAAGCATACTGTTGGGTAGACCAGAGTATCAGTTGTCTGATACCTAGCGGCATGAAACTCAGAGTTACAACCAACCTGAACGTCCTCCGCTGAGTCTGCTATGTACTAAGCTCTGTCTCTGACATTGAGCACTCTCTGCAGCTCGGGGATCAACGGATTTTGGATTTTATACAATGTACATGTAGTTGTACAAGATTGTACAGTAATCATCATACATGTACATGTCTCTGGCCCTGTAGATGGCTCAAAAAGGCATACTTTTCAATTGATTTCCCTTGCATATTGAATTTTTAGTTCCTTTCAACTGCAATATGAAAATAAAGTACACATTGACATAGAGCAAGAAAAGAGCTTGATTTTGATATGCATGTCATACTATACAAAATATGGGTTCACATACATTCAAATGGGACTTCGGTTATAAGGACACTTCGCGAATAAGGACACTTTTCTGATGCCCCGCCGAATGTCGTTATTGGCGAAGTTGACTGTAGGTGGCCTTATTGGCCTCTTCAGAAAAACGAACCTCCTCGAAACTCTACAACCTCATCCGATGGCATGATGACATTCACATCGCCAACAAAGGGTTTTCTTTTCTCCCAGTTCCAGATCGAAATGTTGGAGCGCCATGATGACAGTTGTGGTTACAAACAGTCGCTCTTCTGCTTTAGTTTATTAGTTACATGTAGCTATGTATTTGATCTCAGTGTTGATTTTCTACACTCTTTCCGCGCATCTCAGTGTTGATTTTCTACACTCTTTCCGCGCAATCCGGTGCCTTGTATTATATGAAACATGCGGCAAGTTAGCCAATGCATATCTAATATTGACTGAGTACGAGGTCAATAGGAAATAGAAGCAGATGTGAATGGGCTCCTCCAACAAGTTGAGGAAGATGAAACTTTATTGCGGAGTCGCTCGCGAAGGAGAGCCGGATGAGCCTCAACCAAAGCGTGTAATGCTCAGCAACCTGCGATTTGTCGAGATTTCCGATAAAGACCTGGGAAAAATCCGCCCAGTCGACAATGTGAATGGCCACCACGATACGAGACGAGCAAAAAAGGCACTATGGACTACAAGTATTATTATACTACCAGAAAACAATCACCAAACACAATGCATTGTGGCTGTATGCACCTGTACTGTGTGCAGGTAACTGGTTATGTACATAATCATTGTACATGATTGTATCTCTTTGCAAAATAATTTTGGCTACATGTAGCCTTGTACTTGTACTAACTTGTACTTGTAGGGTGCACACGGGAAACACATTCCAGTCACTCATAGTCATACTCGTACTCGATCAGTACCGCTGTACATCCATCCCTTGCCTTGCTTGAAGTTGCCGCTATCGAGGCGCGGGTCCGCGGTACTGCCCTCGTACTCGTGCAGGAACTAACTGTTACGTGTACTTGTAGTTGTACATACAATCAATTGAATCATAATAATAATTAGGTGCTCAGGGCATCAAGTGCTCACATTTTCTTTTTTTCTTGCTTCTTGTAGCAAGTGATTTTGAAGCATTGGCACTTGAGTTCGGAGAGGTCGAGAAATTTGAGTAACAATATGTCGTACTCTGATCATAGCAATGTCGCCTATGCTTCACGCTCTGGACGAGGGCTGTGCAGTGGCTCTCGCTCGTGTGTACAGTGTAGGGCCGTTACTGAGTTATCGTCCCGTACCCCGTCGTCCCGGACGTCACTTCTACCTACTGAAGTGCGCCGTGCCATCTTTGCCAGCGAGTCCACCTCTTGAAGAATGGCCACCTTGTGTACAGCGATAGATATGAGCTCTGAAACAGAACTGCTGCTTGTAGTGGGCACTGGTAGTGGCACTATGCTACGCCGCTGCTTTCCGCGCTTCCCGTTTTCTAGCCTGGAAGAGTGGAATGGCGAATAGGCGTTGTTTCAGACTGCAACGCAACCTGCACCAGCGTTAGCGGAAACCTCAAAGGAAACACTGTTGTTGACGTCCGTCACGCGTAACGTTCATGTTTTGTTGATCGTCAACTGAAGACCGTGATCAGATAGATTACAAACCAGTCTCTCGACGTGCGGGTTGCTGGAACTTACTTGGATCGACGCGCGGCGGGGAAAGGAGGCCAGGTGGGAAAGGAGGTCAGGAGTCTTGAAATACGGCCCAACCTCCACCCATCTTGCCGGTGGTGACGCGTATCCACAGTACAAGTGAGTAGAGTTGTAAAACCGACCATGTCTATCTACCGGTATTACCATGATTACGGTTGTAACACATGGACACTGACTGTGATGGTATGCGTAGATCTACGAACACGTAGTGTAAATCCTTTCTCAGGAATCAATGGTAGGGTGATGGAGTTCTTGGAGGGACTTCACATCTCCAGTTATGTACTTCGACCATGCTGGCACTAAACTGGAAGTATTGGCTGAGAGAAGCAGTGTACAGGTTGGACATTGGTGAAAGTTTACTAGTACTAGTACTACTAGTAGGTCACGATTGTGCTGCACATGCACAATCTGTGCTCGGAGGGATAACTGCACACTCATGCTTGACTTTCAGTTCATCATGGAGTGTGCTGCATGCGTGTCAGTATGTCACAGCTGAGCAACAGTTGACAAAGCTGCCAGGCATCATACATACATAATATTATGTGTACATGGCAGGGTTCTAACCAGGCTCCCCCCCCCCCCCCCCCCCCTACCCTCCTTTGGCTAGAACCCTGCATGGAATGAAGAAAAGCAAGAATTTTCCAAAAAAAACTACAAAAACCGTGGCGAGGAGACAACAATTTAAAAGTAATGCAATAAAAGGAACTGATTGTGCCGTCATGTCCACACACACAGTGACACACACAAAGCAACGTAACAAGGTTTGTATCCAGAACATTTTCTTGTGACATTATTCCGTGAATAACATCGCTAATCCGTAACATGAAAAAAACGTTTATGGAAAAGAAAAAAAGGACCAAGGAACTACAAGTTATGCCTATAATGTCCACTAACACCACCAGTTACTAAAGAATCAGCTCATGCGATAACATTGCACGACACTGAGCGACAGTACTGATGTCCTACGTTTTGCATGATTGTTGTTTGCATTGCTTCCCCTTTTATTGATCTTCACATCTTTGAGCCACACAAGTCGTGTGGAATGTTGCTTTACATCCTTGAATCGTGGTTTGACCGTATTTTCCAATGATCTTGTCAGTATCGTCATCGACATGCATGTACATCTGCCAACGTCCTTCACAGCTGATACTTTCAGCTCGTGCTTGTCTTGGTTGCGCTCACCATCCCCTCCTATGTTATCATACAACTTAGAATATTCCAAGTTGGAAGGCTGTTGGAGTGCGCATCCAAGATGTGCTAGTGCTGTTAGCCAGTTAGTTGTAGAACGTCAGTACTGTCGGTCAGTGTCGTGCAATGTTATCGCATGAGCTGATTCTTTTTATTGTTTAGTAACCGGTGGTGTTAGTGGACATTATGATGTATATGGATTCCCCCATGCCATATTTCACCTGTAGTTCATGTACTCCCGTACTAAATTTGTACCACAGTTGTATGACCTCGCACCATAATGGCATGCTTGCTTGGCTTGGGAGATACTTCCGTGCTTCATGTGTTTTGCCTCTTCAGTTGTGTTTTCCTTCTCTTCGGATTTGTTTTATAATAAATGTCTTCTTGCTAACTGTAGACATATCATGGCGCAGTGAACTGTTCGTTCCTTGTAGAACTCACCTGTGTGTTTAGTTTCTCGTGCTTTGTGTTTGCACCTCGTTGTGTTGCGCACTGGCTGATTTTTTTGTAGTTTGTTCGTGGTACCAGCATTTGCGTAGGTACGACCACGATGTCCGACTCAGACCCTGCTCCTGACATTGTTGCCCTGACCGCGATGTTGGCGGCACAAATGAAGTCTTCAGAGGAGAGGGAACGTAAAATGGCTGACCTATTCCAACAAACTATACAACGACTGACACAACCAACACAACAACCCGTGCAACCCAGCACCACATCACCAGCTCCAAAGCCTGTCTCTGCGGAGCGACCGATTTTACTGTCGTCCTCGACATTAGCCGACTTCACGGCATGGCAGGAAATGTGGCGAGACTATTATGAGTGCCAGCACCTGTCAGCCCAGAGCCGTGAGACCAGAGTGTCCTCGCTGCGGCAAGCTCTAGATGAGGAGCTACGCAGATTTCTCCGCGAGGGTATCGTGACTCCACCGAATTCCGATGCGGACAATGTGATTTCTGCGGTCATGGAATATTTGCGATGGCAGCGCAACCCACTCCTGGATTGTATCGCATTTTACGATAGGTGTCAATCGAAAGGCGAGTCTTTCGATTCTTTTTACACGTCGTTGAAAGAATTGCACACTAGCTGTGATTTTCCGGAAGTTATTTTGTGCTCACAATGTTCAGCACACACATGTAGTACCTGTCGCACAAGCCTGACACATGAGCGTGCTGACACACTGCGTGACAGGATTGTCATTGGAGTTAGCGACGACGCTACCCGGCACAAGTTATTGTCTGCCAAGGATTTGACCCTGAACGATGCAATCACAATTTGCCGGGCGGAGGAAGCGGCTACCACGACGAGCAGCAGTATCCTGTCCACCAGCCAGCTCAATGCTGTGCGGCGGTCCGCGTACCAACGCAGTAAGCAACAATCCCAACAGGGACAGCCTGGCAGCAAGATGTCTGCACCTGTATTGCCATCTGCATCCGCTCCCTCGTCAGGAAGCGACAAACACAGGAAGTGCCCCAATTGCGGCAGGAGCCCGCACAAAAAGTCTAGTTGCCCTGCCAGCGGCAAGAAATGTAATGGCTGTGGCAAGACTGGTCACTTTCTCGCTATGTGTAGGTCGTCGTCACAATCGGACCGGAACGTGAAGCATGTGGGCCAACTGAAGTTGCAGCGTACTCATCTTGCTGTGCAGCCTACTGTGCGTGTGTCCACCCGTTTAGCCACTGAGGATGAGGAAGTCACGCTACCCTGGGTCCCTGATACTGGCAGTGACGTCGATGCCATTGGCGAGCATCATCTTGAACTGCTTGGCAGGTTCCCCGAGAACCTCGACCATGACCCAGAGTGCGTCCTAGCGGCACCTGGAGAGCAGTTGCAGAACGTCGGCAGTATCCGTGCTTCACTTCAGGTTGGCAAAGTACAACACAGCACCGTAATCCACGTGTACAAGGGTCTGGACGATGCTATTCTATCACGTTCGTCTTTGAGTGCACTCCAGCTCCTCCCGTCAGATTGGCCTGCACACTACCCTGCTGCTAATGCTGCCGCGCTACCTAAGATCCGTGCTGTATCAAAGCCTGTTGTCAATCCTAGCTCTGCTGATATCGCTCGTGTTCGCAAAGAGCTACTGCAGGAGTTCTCGGACGTGTCTTCCGACACTGGCTTGAAGGCGATGGCAGGTCCTCCGATGGACATCCAACTTCAGCCAGATGCTGAGCCGTCATGTGTCCATACCGCGCGCCCGATTCCGTACGCGTTTCGTGACCAGGTCAAGTCACAAATGGACACAATGGTTGTCGATGGCATAATCGAGCCTGTCAGTGAGCCTAGTGAATGGTGTCAACCAATTGTGCTCGTCGACAAGAAAGGTACAGTCAAATCTGTCGTAAGCGACCGCCCCTTGGTGCAAGAAAAAGCGGTCTCCTACGGCAGATGGTCTCTTATGGCACATATATGGTAAATGCGGCATACCGGGCATGCATACCGGGCATGCATACCGGGCATGCATACCGGGCATGCATAATCTTCCATGTACTCAAATCGACGAGAATAATGTGATTTTTAATATCATTTTATTGGATATTCAATAGAATATAGGAGTGCACAAACCCAAGAATAGTGCACAATTATCAGGGCTAATCTTGAGAGCTACAGCGCAGCCTCAGTACAGGCCATGGCCAGTCGATCGCACTTGTAAGACAGCGCATTTTCACACCTTGCAGTTGACAGCGCACTGGCAAGTACAGTTTCGCACCTGACTGAACCTGGGTCGCGGTCGCTTACAGCAGATATGAATGCAGCCATTGTGCATGAAATCGCGGTCGCTGGTCGCGCACAGCAGATGGTTGCTCTGGACAGATCAGTTTGTATGTGAAACCGTCGGTGCACGGAAAATCGGTCGCTAACAGTAGATGGTCGCCTACAGCAGAGGTCGCTATCGGCAGATTTGACTGTACCTCCGAGAAACGCCTCACCGTCGATTTCAAACGACTGAATGACCAAGTCCTGAGACCAGCCCACCCTGTTCGCATCGCTCGCGATGTGGTTTCTGGTATTGGATCGGCACAGTTCCTCACCAAGCTTGACGCAAGGCACGGATTCTGGCAAATCCCACTGAGTGAGCAGGCATGTCCAATAACCACATTCATCACCCCGTACGGCAGGTATCGTTTCCTACGCAAGTAACGCAACCCTCAAGGCCTGATTTCCGCCGGGGATGTTTTCAACTGCCGCACTGATGCTGCGTTCGATGCAATCCCGAATTTCGCCAAGGTTGTAGATGATTGCCTGGCCTATGATGACGACTTTGCCTCCCATGTCACCCATGTCCGTGACATCCTGCTGTATGCTCGACAGCATGGCATTACTCTGAGCCCGTCCAAATTCACCTTTGCGTCACGTCACATCCATTTCTGCGGCTACATTGTCAGTCCAGACGGCTGGGTTGTTGACGATGACAAGGCAGCGGCTATTCGCGATTTTCACATTCCTGCGAACCGCACTGATTTGCGTTCGTTTCTTGGCCTGGTGAACCAGTGTAGCGAGTTCTCATCACACCTCGCCGCCTGCACCACTCCGCTTCGTGGTCTGTTGAAGACGACCCGTGAATTTGTCTGGGATGCCAACCACACTGTTGCGTTCGAGAAGACCAAGTCTACTCTGCTGTCTCCTCCTATCCTGGCCTTCTACCAGCATGGACACGACCTCCGTCTGGAGACTGATGCCTCTGCACTACGTGGTCTTGGCTTCGTTCTGTGGCAGAAACAGGACGATAAGTGGCGAATCATCCAGTGTGGCTCCCGCTACCTCTCTGACGCCGAATCTCGCTATGCTGTTGTTGAGCTCGAGATGCTCGCCGTCGTTTGGGCCGTGCACAAGTGCAAGTTGTACTTATCCGGCACCCCATTTGATCTGATCACTGATCACCGTCCGTTGATCCCGATTATCAACGCGTATTCTCTAGATCAGATCGAGAATCCTCGTCTTCTCCGTCTTTGCCTGAAGCTGCCGTCGTTTCAAGTGCACGCTTCCTGGCAAAAAGGCTCTGATCACGCATTTGCTGATGCGCCATCTCGCAATCCCGTCGGCATCCCGTCTTCAGATGATGAACTCGGCGACGCCCTTGCTCTTCATTGCCGCAGCATGCGTGTCTGCATGCTCCGTGATGATGGTCCTCACCCCAACCTGAAGTTTGTTGAACTTTGAGCAGCCGCCTCAGCTGATCCTGTATATCAGTCTCTTGTCCAGTGCGTTCTGCATGGTTTTCCCCGCTCGTCAGCGTGATCTGGATGCTCCACTCCAACCCTTCTGGAATGGACGTGAACACCTGTCAGTGGACCAGGGCATCGTCATGAAAGGCCAACGCATTCTTGTTCCCTTGGCTATGCGTCAACGCGTTCTTGCTAACCTTCATGCCTCGCATCAAGGCCTCGTCCGCACTAAGGATCGCGCCGACAGCTCGTGTACTGGCCTGGTCTCACCGCCGACATAGACACCCTTGTCCGTGCCTGTTCCGCGCGTCGAGAATTCCAGTCGTCGCAGTCAGCCGAACTACCGATGAATGACCGTCATCCTACTCTGCCATTCGGGTTTGTGTCCACTGATCTGTTCTCTTGCCAAGGCTATGAGTTTCTTGTTTATGTCGACCGTCTGACTGGTTGGCCGTGCGTTGTACGAACCGGCAGGACCACGTCATCACACGATGTCATTCTCGCTTGTCGTCGTTGGTTTGCCGATCTGGGTGTGCCTGCTGTACTGTGCACCGACGGTGGCCCCCAGTTTGCATCGAAGAGGTTTGCCGACTTCTGTAGCCGTTGGCAAGTGCAACGCGTATCCTCTTCCCCGCATTATCCCCAGAGTAATGGACATGCGGAAGCCGCAGTGAAAGCTATGAAGCGCTTGCTGCTCAAGACCTCGTCAAATGGCAATCTCGACACAGATGCATTTCGTCGTGGTCTACTGGAGTGGCGGAATACGCCCGGTCCGTCTGGCAAGAGCCCAGCTGAGCATCTTCTCGGGCATCCACTTCGGTCTTTCGTCATTGCTGAGTGGACGCAGTTTGATCCTGTGGATGTCCAGGATCCGAAGACGAAGCGTTGGACAACCCGTGGCGTGATTGTGGCCATTGGGCAGCACCGTGACTATTTCGTCAAGTTGGCTAGTGGTCGAGTTTATTGGAGAAATCGCCGTTTTCTTCGTCCGTTCTCTCCACCTGTGCCGTCACCAGAACCATGTGTTTCACCACAGCCGTCTGTTGCCGTTGCTCCTGCTACGCCTCCCCCTCTGCGTCGCAGCATACGAGCACACCAACCACCCTCTCGTTTGAACATTTCCTCCACCCGTGGACAGTCTTATGCATCTTGATTTGTTCTGGACACATCGTGTACATGTTCTTGAGGATTTTCTTATATCGTATCTTTCTGTATCCTTGTGTGGCATGCTATGTCTGTTCCGCCGTGTGCTATGGGCCGTTGTTTGCCATACTTATTAATTTCTTGTTTTGATTTGATTTGACAGATAATACTGGATTTGTTTTCTCAGCATTATCTCGAAGGGGCGTGATGTATATGGATTCCCCCCATGCCATATTTGACCTGTAGTTCATGTACTCCCGTACTAGATTGTACCACAGTTGTATGCCCTCGCACCATAACGGCATGCTTGCTTGGCTTGGGAGATACTTCCGTGCTTCATGTGTTTTGCCTCTTCAGTTGTGTTTTCCTTCTCTTCAGATTTGTTTTATAATAAATGTCTTCTTGCTAACTGTAGACATATCACATTATAGCGTAACTTGTAGTTCCTTAGTCCTTTTTCTATTCTATAAATGACCAGTGCTCTGCGAAAACCGACCTTAGGTGCTATTTTGGCGAAATTGAGTTTGTGCTGGATTGTTGACCCATGACCCTTTCTTCAACTTCTGGTGAAGTTTTAGGTGGATTGCATACATATTCAGTCAGATACAATGACAATTTCTTTGCACTTTTCCTGCAATATTTGGAGGAAAAATAGCAAAAATCCAGGATTTTATGCTACATTTTGGAACCAATGCTGTGAGAATTCAAGCAGGATGATTGCAACCAAACTTTGCAGAATAAATCTGTATGTCATAATCCTCAAAAGGAAAGGTTTAGGATGGCATTGGATCTTCCTGTTGTGGAGATAGACACATTCTATCTCTGTTCTGTGGATGGTGTTGCTCACGAATCTGGTGGAAGAGGTATTTGGCTCTGTTTGAGGATATGCCAGCCGGAGTGATGCGTAGAGGCAGGTGCAAAGTAGTGAAGAAGCTAGGATCAATGCCGGGTTAAAGGAGATTGATAGTTTTATCTGGTACTGGTAGTTAGAACATCTAGTTATGTCTACATCAGCCGCACACATTGTTTCGTAATCGGTGATATCATGGCAGTCTCTTTTCCAAATCTTGCCAAACGTACTGTATGCAGCTTTGCCACCAGGCTTTGTGAACGCCTGGTGAACAATCTTCTTCGTAGTGATACTGGGCAAATACATGTAGGTTGGTACTGGCTTGTTGTGCCCATGAGGAGCCGCAGGTTAAGGGAGGCCATGAACTATAGCATAATACTAGCATAGCATAATGCTCTATAAAATGCTTCAGCTCCACAACATCTTCCACAGGCAGTGCATTCCAGACTTGCACTGACAGCAGCCTGTAGATTTCAGCACCCAGGGCTTGATCCTGGAGGCACACAGAAAGACTTCCTGACATGCATGTGCATGACTTCCACACCAGCCACTGACTGTACTTCAGTAGTTCAGAGTAGTATTGTTGAGCCCCATCTATCACATCTCCCAGCATGCTGGACGCACTGGGTAGCCTCACCACGTCTCCTGAGCACGTCTAGCTTTCCGCCTACACACAAGCAGCGATCTGTCTTGATCAGGACCTGCGCTGTGTGTGCTGTAAGTGTAAGCAAGGTTTCAAGTGTCACGCTCTTGAAACAGCACCAGTGCGGAACACCTACAGCGCTTGTCAAACTTGTCACGCACCTCCTGGATTGTAGACAGTACTTGAACCGATTTTCTTGGTCTGCACTCTGTGTATTGCCGGCATTGAGGGGCTGGGCTGGTGGCAGAACGGACGCCTGATCGAAATTCTCCTCCGCATCACCGTCCAGCTCGATCAGCGTTACGTCCTGCGATTCCACATCCGACTCTCCTCGGCACTGCTGTCATCAGAACTGCGATTGGACCAGGCCAAAAAAATGACTATTCATCGTGAAGGAGTTCGGCTAAAACCTCTGGGGAGAAGCCCACAGCAATTTGAGCTAGCGACCGTCTTCTGCTTCGTTCCGCCATGACTCTCACCTTGTAATCTTCAAAAATCGACAGATCGTGACGTTTTGTTCTTTTTCTCGAAAAAATTACGAAGCACCTAAGGTCGGTTTTCGCAGAGCGCGGGTCAAATTTATCCTTGGCTCTCCATCCGAGTCCATGAAATAACATAGACTTATTATTTTTAAATACCATCTGGAGCTAACCATTTATTTAAATTATTATTTTATTCATATCTCTCTAGGGCCGTCTCCACAGACATACATGTATGGTCTCCTTACTGGGTACCCTAGCCAATCTACGATTACGATACGAAATTGACTTGGTGAAGCAGCAAGGCGGACCGATTCCGGGACTGAGTTCCAGTGGTCAGAGGCTAAAAAAGAAAGAGAGGAATAACCAAATCGAGAGGAGGCTCGTGGCAGTAAAAGTCCAAGAGAGTCTTGAGACCTTCTGCAGGTGTGGCTGCGTGCCTCAGAATTGGCAGGAAGGCGGCATGGAAGGGCACTGGCAGAAGAATAAATGCCTCTGAATACCATACAAAATAAACTTGGCCGGAGTTTTATGTTCGGTTTGTTGATGACTCGTTTACCTATTTTTCCACCAAATCAGAAAACTTCATTGCACATGTACATGACTGTACTCATATTGGCATCTACTTCAAGTACATGACTGCTGTACTGGCATCTACATGACTGCTGTACTGGCATCTACATGACTGCTGTACTGGCATCTACATGACTGCTGTACTGGCTGCTTGTAGCGGGAGCATTGTACCTCATGCAAGGAGATGAATATGTGTTTCCTTATCGAAGGAAGGTGATCTGGACTGTCTTATCCATTCTATAACATGTGTATATGCGTGTACGTGCTCGTGTGTGTGTGTGTGTGTGTGTGTGTGTGTGTGTGTGTGTGTGTGTGTGTGCGTGTGCGTGCGCGCATGAATGCATGCATATGTGCCTGTATGTATGTGTGCATGCGTATGTGTATGCATGTGTGTGTGTGTGTGCGTTTTATGTGTGTGTGCGTTTTATGTGTGTGTGTGCACGCATATTTGTATGTGTGTGTGTGTGTGTGTGTGTGTGTGTGTGTGTGTGTGCGTGTGTGTGTGTGTGTGTTTGTGTGTTCAGCATGGATCCAAGGTGGTCTTCAATCGACCCTTTGCTTTCAATCGAGATTGGCTGCCTGTTTGGAAAGGCTAAGGTATGTTGAAAGAATGGACTATGTCAGAGATTGTTTGTTGTACTTTCTTCTAATGTACCTCCATGAAGTTCCAATCTAGCATGTCGCAATTAACACCGCTCAAAGTTGTGTTCTAGCATGGATGTGATGGCCAATCCTTTGTGTTCTAGCATGGATGTGATGGCCAATCCTTTGTGTTCTAGCATGGATGTGATGGCCAATCCTTTGTGTTCTAGCATGGATGTGATGGCCAATCCTTTGTGTTCTAGCATGGATGTGATGGCCAATCCTTTGTGTTCTAGCATGGATGTGATGGCCAATCCTTTGTTCCTCTTCTCATGAACCCTCCATTGTATGGGGGTACTAATGGGGTACTAATGGGGTACTAATGGGGGTATGGGGGTACTAATGGGGGTATGGGGGTACTAATGGGGGTACTAATGGGGGTATGGGGGTACTAATGGGGTATGGGGGTACTAATGGGGGTACTAATGGGGTACTAATGGGGGTATGGGGGTACTAAACTACAACAAAGGTGCTGTGTGCAGCTGCTGTGTTCTGCTGGCAGCGTCCTCATCTTGGCCGGTACAAAGGATGAGCTGACCCTGCGCTAAAAGTGATAACATGAGCACGTACTGTGCACTGTTTTTCATCATTCTGTGAGAGCCAGCCGTAGCCTGGTGAGAAGGCATCACCGCCTGTTCACTTGGTGAAGTAAAATATAGAATACCATACCATACGACTAGTGTATATGTTATTAAGTAGCAGCTTGAAGTGCAGCCTGTAGGCTGTAGGCTGTAGCATGACCCGCACTCTGTAGAATACTACTGATGCATTTCCTGTGCATCCTTGGTTTGGTGCAAGACTAGTCCGACAACAAGCACTACACCAAGCATGGCACCGCGATCACCTATGCTGCTTTCATTTACCACTGTTTGGTAATGCTGAAAGTCTTAGGTGGTTCACTTCTTCCTTTTCGAGCATTGGGAGGCCAATTTAAAAGAAGCAGGAAAGTGCTGATTCTTATACTTCAAGTAATACGTTTGGTGATGAAGTCGTGTCTTTTGTTTTCTTTTTGCAGAATCAGAAATTGGAGATGAAACCAAAGAACATCGCCCTGACCCAGAGAAAAAGTATGTCTTCAAATACGCTGGGGTTTACCACAGAGCAGTCTGCATGATACGATTGCTTGCCCATTGTAGGTAGGACAGTGTTTTCTTGAATCTGGACCGACAGTTTGTAAAATAATCTTGGTTACTCCATTCCCGCATTTCTACTACTAGTAGTCTTGAATATGTATACAGCCCCAATAGAATGCAATACAATGATTCTTACAGTCAAATTGAGTCAATGCATGGCTATCTCATTTGCAGGCTAAGATTGCCATATCTGGTCTATGCTACTGGCGTGGGCATGGGTCAATGCTACTGGCGTGGACATGGAAATCCGGTCGCACCTCTAGCAGCCCCAGGGCGCTGGCCATGCAGCCTTGAGTACGCGTGCGGTACACACCTTCATTTATGCACTGCAGCGCTCTGGTCGCATTGGATCAACATGTGCACTGCATGCAACGTTCTGTATGCCCCGGTCATTCGACTGGATTTCCATGTCCACGGCAGTATTTTGGTGCCATTTCAAAGAGACCACGAAACTCCAACAACTCCAATAACTTGCTTTACATGTATTGCTGAATGTCACACTCTGCAGATTCGTTTGTAATCATTGTCTCCTCTAAGACCAACGAGAGAGCCAAGACAGAAATCAATCTGTCGGACATCACCAATTACCGTGAGTGTCTTGTTTTTGATTGGTTTGCTGGAAGTGACATACGCCAATGGCTTCTTCAGACTTTTCCATTCCCTCAACTGGTGAATAGCCAATGGCTTACTAAAGAGTTGTTGTTTGCAATTGTATGGCTAATGAAACTCTAAAAAGGCTGACACACCCTGAAATAGATAGGCTTTCCAATCCAAAAGTTTGAAAATCATCAGATTCTTCACATGTGAAAAGCTGTTTTCTTGGTTTTGTCAGTTGACAAACCCCCTTTTATTTACAATGCAGTTGTGTGATGTCCACCACTTTCTGAACTAGGTAACTATTGTATACCATATAAACTCGGGTGTTGAGCCTTTTCTCTTTACATATTTTATACAATCACGGCAGTTGTTTACTTACTGGAAATGTTCTTTGTGCTATTGAAGAAATGTTCCGAACAATTTCCTCACAAAACATGTGTGGGAAGAGTAACTTAACCATCCTGACTGGATACCGTGTTTTACCTGTTATAAGTCAATCCCGGGTATAAGTCGACCCCGTATCCGGAGATCTTAATTCTGTTTTCCCGCAACGAAGCACTTCTAATCACTCCCTGATGTTAACACAATCAATGAACCACATAAACACTCCTCACTGGAGGGTGAAACGTCCTAATCCTTGAAAAAGGCAAATAATCTGGCAACAATGCGTACACATGATGCACCCGTGCATGCAGTGCAGGTCATTTTTGGAAGACACCAATAGTTCCCGGTTAATAGAGAGGTTCTGCAAAACGAAAATGTGTACGAACTTTCGCTCTACGTCACGAAGTGAGAAACTTCGCACGAACTTTCGCAACTTTGGACGCGAAACTTGCAGGGAACGCAAAATGAACTTTCGTAGGAAGTCTCGTGAGATTGGGTCATGTCGTACGTGCACTTGGCGCGTGCAAACTACGAAAATGTGCAGAACACAAAGTTCGTGCGAAAATTCGTACACATTTTCGCAAGGCCTGTCGCGAAACTTTGGTCGAATTTTCGTTGTGCAGAACCTCTCTATTATAAGTGGAGTCCAGGTTGTAAGTCGACCCCCACCTTTTCTCCTTCTATCTTTAGTCGTAAAAGGTCGACTTAAAATCGGTCAACCTTGGTACTTCTCTTGCTTGATGTCAGGTCTGTTTTCAGGAGAAGGCCTGGCAACACCTCTGCTTCGGATGAATGCATGGAATGGCGAGTACACAATCAAGTTTGATGTAGACAGAGATAGAGCTAACTGGATGGCACATCTCAAAGTTGCCATTGGCATGGTGCAGAAGAACTTTGAATGTAAGCACACGTCTCAGGGTGATGATCCTTCTGCTGCTGTTGCTGTTGCTGTTGCCGCCGCTGTTGCTGCTGCCGCTGCTGCTGCTGCCGCTGCTGTTGCTGCTGCTGCCGCTGCTGCTGCCGCTGCTGTTGCCGCTGCTGCTGTTTCTGCTGCTGCTGCTGCTGCCGCTGCTGCTGCTGCTACTGCTGTTGCTGCTGCTGCTCCGGCTGCTGCTGTTGCTGCTGCCGCTGTTGCTACTGCTGCTGCTGCCGCCGCTGTTGCTGCTGCTGGTGCTGCTGCTGTTGCTGCTGCTGCTACCGGTGCCGCTGCTGCTGTTGGTGCTGCTGCAGCTGTTGCTGCTGCCACTGTTGCTGTTGTTGCTGCTGCCGCTGCTGCTGCCGCTGCTGTTGCTGCTGCTGCCGCCGCTGTTTTTGTTGCTACTGCTGCTGCTGTTGCTGCTGCTGCTTTTGCTGCTGCTGCTGCTGTTGCTGCTGCTGCTTTTGCTGCTGCTGCTGTTGCTGCTGCTGCTGCCGCCGCTGTTGCTGCTGCTGCTGGTGCTGCTGCTGTTGCTGCTGCTGCTGCTGCTACCGCTGCTGCTGCTGCCGCTGCTGCTGTTGCTGCTGCTGCTGCTGCTGTTGATCTCCGATTCCTGCCAAAACGAGGCAAAATTGAATGAGAAAATTTAAATAAGATATCGCCATTATAAAACAAGATAATGACAATGATAATTATTAACATTGTATTTTATGTGGAGAGAAAGCTCCTGAATCCCTGATGATGCCCTCCTGGCAGTCCTGGGTAAACATTTGGAAACGATTATTGTACGTGGTGTATCCAAGAACTGTGCGTGTGTTGCGGATTGGAGGTGAAATAAAACATGACAAGGCTACAACCGAGCTACAAAGTGCTCACGTGCTCCTGCACTACACCAGTCACCTGGTCACCGTGCCTAGCGGCCCTAGCCTTGCGCCTACTCCTGTCACTCGAGTTGAACCTTGGTGTGAAAGTTGTCGCCTGCTGGCGCGGTGACCAGGTGACTTTGGCACGCAGGAGCACGTGACCGCTTGTTCAACCATGTCCGATTGGGAATAAAGGAGGAATGCTGCATCGCAGCCTTTTCGAACCAAAACCAGTCGACTCCGCGTCCAAAAGGCTACAACATATGGGCCAATCGCGGTCATCCGTGCTTTTATAAGAACGAAATGGTGCTTTTAGTGACTTTTGCATACAAATTCCCATCTAGTAGAGCGCAGTCACCCAGTTTCGGTGGAAGTGCGCGAGTTCGATTGGGAATACAGGAGGAATGGAGCGTATCAGCTTCCTCGGACCAAGACCATTCGACTCAGCACACCGAAGGGTACAACTGGTGAAAAGTTGATTTTAGCCTTAACTTCCCCTTTAAAGGGGAAGTTAAGGCAAAAATCAAAATTTCACCAGTTGTAGTCTTCGGGGTGCTGAGTCGAATGGTCTTGGTCCGATAAAGATGAGACGCTCCCTTCCTACTTGAATCCCAATCGAACTCGCGCACTTCCACCGAAACTGGGTGACTGCGCCCTACTAGATGGGGATTTGTATGCAAAATGTCACTAAAAGCGCCATTTCGTTTTTATAAAAGCACGGATGACCGCGATTGGCCCATATGTTGTAGTCTTTTGGACGCTGAGTCGATTGATTTTGGTCCGAAAAGGCTGCGATGCAGCATTCCTCCTTTATTCCGAATCGAACATAGTTGAACAAGCGGTCACGTGCTCCTGGGTGCCCAAATCACCTGGTCACCACGCCAGCAGGCGACAACTTTCACACCAAGGTTCAACTCGAGTTCAACTCGAGTGACAGGACTGCACCCAAAAAAGGTCAAACAGGCTAGTAAGTTGTACCCTGCAGGCACGGTGACCAGGTGACTGGTGTACGCAGGAGCACGTGACCGCTTGTTCAACCGTGTTCGATTTGGAATAAAGGAGGAACGCTGCATCGCGGCTTTTTCGGACAAAAACCAGTCGACTCAGCGTCCAAAAGACTACAACATATGGGCCAACCGCAGTCATCCGTGCTTTTATAAAAACTAAATGGCGCTTTTAGTGACATTTTGCATACAAATCCCCGTCTCGTAGGGCGCAGTCACCCAGTTTCGGTGGAAGTGCGCGAGTTCGATTGGGATTCAAGTAGGAAGGGAGCGTCTCAGCTTCCTCGGACCACGACCATTCGACTCAGCACCCCGAAGACTACAACTGGTGAAATTTTGATTTTTGCCTTAACTTCCCCTTTAAAGAGAGAGAAAGAGAGAGAAGTTTGGGTTAATTGAGGTCAGCAGTTGGTAGTTTTGCTCTAAGAAAATCTGCCTTGTCCAAGGCCTGCCGGGATAAGGGGAGCTCTTACTAGGTACATGAACGATAGATGCACGCTGCATTGATTACCTTGCCCGTCACAAATGTTGCTATGTAATAGCATAGTTCTCCCAGCTGTTTGTTTTTAGTTAGCTGACGATAGTGTTTGCAACAAGCACGGAGTAGTGGTGATATCCAAGTGTAGCATTCCTTCTGATAAATTCTGGGACTGTTGGTTCTTTCAACAGGGCTGTCCTACTTTCTGTTCGTGATCTATCCGTCTTCATCCGGCCACAAGGATCCTGCATTGCTGCGCCTACTGCCGGAAGATGAGCCTGTGGAGATTGTTATTGAGAACCCGATTACGCATGATGATATCCAGCGCTTCTATATGCGGCAGTTGCTAGAGTTTGACTATTCAAATGGTATGTGTAAACAACCATGACTTGCTCTGTGTGCATGATTGCGTGCCCACTTGCTTTCCGGCCTGTCCACCTGCCTCTCCACCTGCCTCTCCATCTGCTTATCTTTATACTGTACTTTTCAGTAACACTCAATCTCCCGACCAGCTAGCTGTTTCAACCTTGTTAGGCCTCCTTGGCGGAGCTCAGAGTTCCTGGTCAAACCGATCGCAATGAAGTCTGATGAACAAGAAAGCATTTTTACAGCGGCTTTTACTTTTCTTAGCATGTACAGGCATGGGTCCTAAGCTCTGAAATGGACGGGTCGCCTTGCCGTTACTAATGGTTTGAGAAAACTGATCCCGTGCAAGGTATATTAGTGACATGCATTGAGTACGGACACTAATGTCTTGTCTATTCAGTCTTCCTCATCCATGCTTTTACCATAACCTTGCGACAGCAAGCAAATTCTCCTGCATGTTGATTCTTCTCCGTTTCCTCAGGCAATATTGTGGTTCTAACATTCACCAACAACACCGCAGTGACGTCACATGAATGTGTGAAGAGCAAGTTTGACTTCAGATGTTTCTGGGCACGTAGTCTAGTGGCTGTGCTGACAAAGCGTTTAACTGCCCTCGGCCTTCCTTTCAAGTCAGCCAAAGTTGGCGGGGTAAGCCATACCGTGTTGAATGTTTACGATGGGCATTGCAAGCCAGCGTCTCACAAACAATTTCCGGACGTGCATACTTCTCTCTTCCCTGTTGCACCCTTTTGTTGTGGTTTGCAATTAGCAACCACTGACATACAATCTGTATTGTTTTACGCACGCATCCTGTCAACCGTGTGCTTCCGATTGTATTGTGGTTTGTTAGCTAAGTGAACAATCTAGTGTACACTGAATCCCGTACGATTTGAACTGCCCTGTACATAGTAGATCTACGTGCATGTAGCTTGCTGTTATGTTCCGGAGTCTTCTGGATTTATCACCTCGTGTTCTTGTACATAAAGTCAGTTGCGATCTCAGTGATCTCGAGAGTAGTCTGGAGGTTTTAGGTGCGTTTTCGGAACGCCACATGGTGTCAGAAGTCTGATTTGGAACTGTAGTACACCGACCACAATGTCATCCGCCAAGTTTCCCCTGCCAGACCCCTTCGACTTCAGTTCTCCCCAGTCGTGGTCACAGTGGACCTAACGGTTCGAGCGCTTTCGGTCCCTGTCCAAGTTGGATCAGGATGATAAAACCCGTCAAATTAGCACTTTGTTGTATACCATGGGTGCCGAGGCCGACAACATCTTTGATGCTCTCCCGCTGACGGACGACACCAGGAAAAAGTACGACTCCGTCACGGCAGCTCTGGACCAATACTTCACACCGGCTGTGAACGTCATCCACCAGAGAACAATATTTGAGCAAACAACGCCGCATTCCGGAAATTTACTAAGTTCAAATGAAAGCGTGCACTTAGAAGTTTGTAATTTAATTCATGGTGTTTGTGACACTATGTTTTTGTCGATAGGAATTCAGACGATCATTCTCAAAGGATGAAGCTCCTCTTTCTCCACAACGTAAAACGGTTGATTTTCAATCGAATCGCTTCCCTTCACCTCGCGATGATGCAACGAGTCCACGGGACAGCAGTGCCGAAAGTGAGCGATACCGTAGACGATCTGATGGACAATGGCCAGCGAATACCGCCAATAGCAGTGCAGTACCGGAAGCTACTGGAGCAGTGCTTGCCAATTCAGGAGCTGCAGGTGAGCAATCTGCCACTATACGCAGTCATGCTTGAATTTTATAACTGCACATTGTGGAACAACAAAATCTTCTTGTAGTGTTACTTGGTGTTATTGTGGCATTGCTGAGCATTGCTCAGCATTGCTATAACTTCCCACAGTTATGGGCAACCGGTTTGTAATGATGTGAAAAATTATGAACCCCTTATATGGATGATTCAAAGAGAGATTCTTCTATAATGGAGAGTGAGTGTGTGTGTGCAGCGGCGTAGGAGGGGTTTTGGAAGTGGTACGACCAAAGGTTGGCGCGGCCGAAGGCCGTTTTGGAGGGGGGTCCGGGGGACCTCCCCCGGGAAAATTTTGTAAAAAAGACACAAAATCCTGCGTTCTGGGAACTTCTGGCACAGTTTATAAGTCATAGAATTATTTCACGGGCAGAAGAGACGTGCATGGACATGCACAGATGCATGGCAGATCTACGAGTACGAGTCTAGAAAAAGGTCAAAGTCTGATGCGCATATGCATCGCGATGGATCCTGATTTTTTTATTACGGTTTTGCACGTTCCGGACGGACCACACTTTTCGAAAAGTGGTACGGCCATGGTCGTACCAGTCGTAGCGGGTGCTACGCCCCTGGTGTGTGTGTGTGTGTGTGTGTGTTCCATATGGTGCAGTAATATGTGCAGCGATTTCCAATTGATACGTTGCGGGTTCGATTCCCGACGATTATGGTCACACACGTCTTTCTTCTCTTTCTCAGACTCCTCCTGGCTTTTCTTTCATTCTCCTGGGTGGTTACCAACAGTATGTGGTGAAATGTGTGTGTGTGTGTGTGTGTGTGAAAAATGAAGAAAAAAATGAAAAAGACCAAAAAGTAGGGATTCACTGGCCAGAAAAAGCCACTTTATAGCTGTGTGGTGTAGGCCAGGCTGAATAGTGGCGGTCAATTCTTCAGCCTTGCAAGATGTTGAATGGTGCAATCCCAGCACAAGCTGCTATGGCTTCTGCTGTAGCATCGCTATCATCGCCTCCGGCGATGGGCGTCCAATGGTCCAATGGTGTGTGTGTGTGAGGTACCGTAGAGGTTGGTTGAATTTTACGTGCTCTGACCTCAAGTCGTTTGTGTCATGTACCACAGCCCTGTCCGTGTTGTGTAGACCAGGGCAGGGCTGTGGTGACCTCCGCCAGTGGCCTTGCAAGCTACTGCGGAGTTGTTGTTGCGCCGCACTCACTGCACAACTAGTCGGAAAGTTCATTTTGAGAACTTCGAAGGTCAAGGTGTGTGTGTGTGTGTGTGTGTGTGTGTGTGTATGGAGGGCATTTAAAAGTGCTTGTGTGGACAGATTGCCAGTCGTGTACGCAGGCATGTTCTGGTTACCCGCATCCAGCGACGCAGTGTTATGCAGATGTTATCATAATAAGCTATGCAATTGAACAAAACCCAGATTTCACATGGATAGCTACACGAATTTCTAATCAAGCACTTGTATGGCTATGGCAAAGTTGTTAGATTCCAGAGCTTCATCTTGACACGGTCCTCAATGGAAATCGCTGGTAGTGAGAGTTGGAAACATTGTTCAACATCCTTCTAAAACAAGTTTCAAACAATGAACGTTTACAGGTAGCAGGCATGGTTGTACTAGGACTGAGCAAACATGTCCTTCCCATTGCTTTCCCTCAATACTGTCTCCCAGTTGCCGATTGCCAGTTACCAGTTGCCAGTACACTGTACATTGTACGACTTGCAATCACCGCCTAGACACGCCATCTCCCAATCAAAACCCTAACACGACTTGCAATCACCACCTAGACATGCCATCTCCCAATCAAAACCCTAACACGACTTGCAATCACCACCTAGACACGCCATCTCCCAATCAAAACCCTAACACGACTTGCAATCACCACATAGACACGCCATCTCCCAATCAAAACTCTAACACGACTTGCAATCACCACCTAGACACGCCATCTCCCAATCAAAAACCTAACACGACTTGCAATCACCGCCTAGACACGCCATCTCCCAATCAAAACCCTAACATTTCTTTGTGTTAACCCACAAGTGTCTCACAACGTAAACACATTGTCAGTAGTCTGTCTTGGGAAAAATAGTCAGTGGCTTCTCCATGCCTTCTTCTGCTGATGAATAAGCCGTTGCACCAACTTGCCAAACCAGGCACGAGTACATGGTAGACCCTAAGCAGGTGCACTCCACCCATTGCTATTGCAGGTGCACTCCACCCATTGCTATTGCTGGCACTCAGTGGTTTAGTGCCTGTACTGGACTACGGTATTTTCAAACTTTGTACTTTTGGTGTCCTCTGGGTCTTCAGTATTCGCCTCAACTCTGATTCTGCACAAACAAACAGGTTTATGATGCCTCTCCATGCTTTACTGGAGGCATTGAATGCGACATCCTATGAACGCAGAAAATCCAGACATTTTATTGACTGCTTGCATCCATACAGTGCCACTAGCTTCGCACCGGCCCATGGGTAAACACGAATTCACAGACACGATTTTTCCACACACAGAGTCTTCTACTTTAAGGTCTGCCAGTAACGACCACTGCCCTTACACTTGTTGGCAAAAAAATCTGATGTTTTTTGTACTGCTGATTTTGATTCGCGGGTCGGTTTTCTTTGTCCACGACAGTACATCCATGTGTGTGTGTGTGTGTGTGTGTGTGTGTGTGTGTGTGTGTGTGTGTGTGTGTGTGTGTGTGTGTATGTGTGTGTGTATGTGTGTGTATGTGTGTATGTGTGAGTTTGTGCATGTGTGTGCATGTGTGTAGATAGCGGGGGGGGGATTGAGGTTGTGCCCCCGAGGGAAAAACCTACTTGACATGTTGTGGAGTTACTTTCTGGAGGATTGACCAAGTTTACTATGAGTCTTATTGTCTCATGTAACTGCATGATTGTGTTTTATTGTGTCGCAGATTACCCAGATTCTAAGTTGCAGCAGGTTCCAGAGCATTTCCCACCAGCACCCCCACCCCCGACAAACGTGCCGGAAGAAGCGATTGACGGCGGTGAGGAATACCTAACGGACGCTTCCGCTCTTCCTCCTCCACCAGCTTTCTTATCCGAGCCACCACCTCTGTCATCTCCATCTCCATCTCCATCTGCACCCGTTACGGAGATATACCCCGATGCTACACGCGTTACGGAGATATACCCCGATGCTACACGCGTTACGGAGATATACCCCGATGCTACACGCATTACAGAGGTATATCCCAAAGCTACACACAGGACCAGGACACAGTCTATAAGCCCGTCCCCGCTTGATGCATCTGCCAAGGGAGATGGAGCTAAAGCAAAGTGCCTCACTCTTCCAAATCGAAAAATTCGTCGGATTAGCAGAGACGTTCCGACGGATAAACCCAGTGATGATGAGTATGCGCCCCTTAGCCCAGCAAAGAACACACGCCCAGTGGACTTGGAAGCGTTCCGCCGCTCTTTTAGGATTGTGCCACAATATTCTACAGATAGTGATGTTGGTGTTGCACCGGCATTGCCAGTTTCGCCAATGACTCCAACTCACGTCCCTCGCAACACTCCCACATCGACAGCATTGGGTGCGATGAGCAGGCAGGACTCGGGTTTATATGTCAACATGGAGGCATTCAGCCAATTTCACCTTCACGAAGACATCGAACCAATGTATCCACCAACCCGAAGTCCTCCCAAGCCCTCTAAGCCACCCAGAAGGCAAACGTCATTAACAGAAAATACGGAAACAGATGCACTGGATCAAGCGGCTTGTGGTAAGACACCAGGCTTTGCAGGGAAATGGGTATTTTAATTCTTGGGTGAAAGTCTCATATTCCAGGCAATTAAAGGCCAAGTTGTAGCCAACTTGATATTTAAGAGGGGCGGTTGGGAAGTCAGTGAGTACCAATTTGTTTATTGAAAAGAAGAAAGGACCAATGAACTACAAGTTAGGCTATAATGTCCACTAACACCACCAGTTACTAAACAAGCAGCTCATGCGATAACATTGCACGACGCTGACCGACGGTACTAACGTTCTACAACTAACTGGCTAACAGCTCTGGCACATCTTGGATTCGCACTCCAACAACCTTCCAACTTGGAAGATTCTAAGTTATAATATGATAACATACGAGTAGTTCCTTGGTCCTTTTTCTTTTCTATAAATTTACCCCTGGCTCTCCATCCAAGTCCATTCTTGCACACCTGATGAGCCGTACTAATTTGCTATTATTAGTTTGGGGAAGTTGGCTCTGTTACAAGAGTAATGGATAGGCATAGATGACTGCAGGAGGCTTGCAGGAATCGAGCAGGTAGAGTCCAGAGCGAAACTAATGCTGAGCATGGGAATGCCGGTGTGGGCGTAGACAGTTCAGCTGGCTGCGCCCTACATCCGCTGTGAGACCAAAGTTGTTGTAAGTGAGTTCAGATTGCTAGTATCAATCAGTGTCTTGATTGCACACCATTAGCAGCTAAACTTGGCTGCAGTTTTAAAACGCCATTGTAGCCTGCCAAGTACTTGATGAGGATGGTAGGTGCTGATTTGCTAACGTCAAGTCAGTGGCGGATCCAGGGGGGGGGGGGGGGGGCCAGGGGGCCTGGGCCCCCCCTTTGAAAATTTCGACCTTGGTCTAGGATAACAGTAGACTGTAGAATGAGCGCTCGAAATGACTTGGCGTATGAAGTGGGTCACGCGTGCTGGGTATTTTTATACGTGTCCGGGGTCACGCACTAGCACTGTACTACATGTAGTCAGCGCGCTGTGTACAACTACTGTACGCACTGCGACCTGAGGACACGGCCGCACTTCAAACATGTGAAAAACGTGCCAAAAATGCAGGGCCTGGTACTTTTTTTTATTATGCATAGCTCAGTGATCGCGTTGGGCTGAAGTCCTGTATGGTGCACGGTGCTGTCGACTTCGTCCTTCCTTTTTTCTTTTTCACTTGTCAGAAACTAAACGCTCTCTAGCTCTCTACTTCGCTTGTAGCCAACGGGTTACCTTCAGATATGCGATGAAGAGGAAAGCGTCTGACATCAGGTCGTTCTTCAGTGGACCGGTACTGGCGGTAGATAAGAGAGCTCGCGTTGAAGAGCCGTCCAAAGGTCCGTCGCGGCCGCTGTCAATCGAGTGGAAATGTTCCAGTGCAGTTTGAAAATGTCGTGAGAATGGAATAAAACTAGGGACCGGCGGATTCTGCTCGAAAAGTTGGCATATTCTGCTCGAAAAGCAGTGAAATTGGCAGAACCATACAAACCTTATGGCGGGCAATTCCTCGAATTCTGCTCCATTTTTTTATCCACATACCAAACATGCATGAAACTTACCAGAAAAAGTACCGAATTCTGCCAATTTTTCTGCCGGCAGAATCCGCCGGACCCTAAAATACAACAGCTCTTCACAACTTCAGGACTTTGTTGTTGTTGTATTAATTTTTTGTTTTTGGGGGGGGGGGGGGGCGGCGGATACCTTGGGCCCCCTCTTCGGCCAAGTCCTGGATCCGCCACTGCAAGTCGACTGAAGACTTGTTTTCAACTACTTGGCAGCTGCAGCATCTACCTGCATGCAGACTGGTACAGTTGAACAGTAGTTTGATCAACCTGAATTTAACAGTACATCCTCTGGTCCTGAGTTTTGGTGAAAGGCTAAATTAAGCAGGTACTTTAACTCACAGGGGCAAAACGACAGCTACCATACTGGCATCACTGCCGTGACTAAGGTAACTGATCACCCAAATGCAAAGGTGAAAAAACTCAACAAATCGTCTCATTATGAAAGGTGCAGAAAGTACATTGGAAAACTACGAGAATCGATCGAATGGCGAGCAGTTCTTGAAAGTGAAGTCGACACCACCTTGTCATAGAGCATCGCTGAGCAAGCACCACACGCAATTCTTGAACCTTTGATGTCTCCTAATGGAAATCATTACTGTGTGTACGTGCATGCATGGATGTGCATGCATGGATGTGCATGCATGGATGTGCATGCCTGGATGTGCATGCGTGGATGTGCATGCGTGGATGTGCATGCGTGAATGTGCATGCGTGGATGTGCATGCGTGGATGTGCATGCGTGGATGTGCATGTGTGAATGCATGCTGGTGTGCATGCGTGAATGCATGTGGGTGTGCATGCGTGAATGCATGCTGGTGTGCATGCATGAATGCATGTGGGTGTGCATGCGTGAATGCATGCTGGTGTGCATGCGTGAATGCATGTGGGTGTGCATGCGCGTGTCAGCTAGTTCGGTTGGTGGGCACTCTTATGGCAGACAGTGTTTGGTCTGGTGCCAACGGGCTTGGCGGCTTGAACGTGTATTGTTGTACCTGCCACCTTTGCTGGTTTCAGGCCCATGTACTCATGTACTCATGTACTCGCAGTTATACTTCTTTTCAAAGTACTGTATACATACATGTTGACCGGCAATGGCCTACTCGGTCTGGCAACTCTTGTGCATCAATGGTGCTAGTGAACACTGTACGATACTATCAGATCCAATCTGATTTACTAATCCATACTACAGTAGCAGCAAGTGTTACTTTCACAGTAGACAGAGGTAGATGAATTTGGATCCCCGGACGGATACCTTGATGCCGTCAATCCTTTTTCTGCACCTTGTCCTCACCCACTTACTGAGGTGTGGTGACCCCATAAGTTTGATCATTTCCAAATCCACCCAGAGTCTCGGAATCAAATCCGCGCAATTAGAGCGCATGTACAAACTTGGTGTTGTTTTGATAATACATACTCGGAGTAATAAATATAGTACTTTAGTAGTGTCCATGTCATCATTGTATTGGTGGTTTCAGTATCATAAGCACAGTTATTCTTCAGGATCATAAGCACAGTTATTCTTCAGGATCATAAGCACAGTTATTCTTCAGTATCATAAGCACAGTTATTCTTCAGGATCATAAGCACAGTTATTCTTCAGGATCATAAGCACAGTTATTCTTCAGTCTTGATAGTTTACAGTGAACTTAAGGCTCTGTTTTTCTTTGCCTTTTTTTGCTGGATGACGTAAGGGCCCCCTCTTGAATAATCCCCCCCCCCCCCCCTTGAATAGTGCGCCATCTGTGATGAACTTGGGTTCAATAGTCAATTGAGTCACCTTACCAGGATTCCTTTTGAATCCCTCTCCACTCTCCAGGTGGTGTGTGTGTGTGGGGGGGGGGGGGGGGGGGGGGGGGGGGGGAGGAGATGCACGTGACCAGTTTATGCAGTGAGTACATGTGTGTGTGTGTGTGTGTGTGTGTGTGTGTGTGTGTGTGTGTGTGTGTGTGTATGTGCGTGTGTGTGTGTATATGTGTGTGTGTGTGTGTGTGCTCGTGTGTGTGTGTGTGTGTGTGCATGTGTGCGTGTGCGTGTGTGTGTCTGTGTGCGTGTGTGTCTGTGTGTGTCTGTGTGTGTGTGTGTGTGTGTGTGTGTGTCTGTGTGTGTGTGTGTGTGCGTGTGTGGCTCATGGCATGCAGGTACAGTCAATGCACGGCAAGACCAGCAAGCGTACTCTACTAGCGAAGAGCATCGCAAGGCTTTTCGAGCTGGATCAGCTCGGCCCAAACCTGCACCTAGGCCACATAGTCTAAGAGGGCTGGACTGGACAAAGGCGAGTCACCCAAGTGAGTGAACGTAAGCGTTCAGTAGAAGACGACCCAACATATGATGATCTCAACCTGCAAAGCAAGGAACCAACGGCAGGTGTTCACATACATCCTGTGGCTGAGAGATATGAACGTGCCGTCATGTCCGCACACAGCCCACAGGACGAGGCCATGGGCTTGTTTGAGTCCTTTGAGAGCGATCCCGAGTTCCCCGAAGATGAAAATGGTTCGCAAGCGGGTGATAATGCAGTGCATTACCATCATCGGAACGCGTCTCCAATTTTCACGCCTCTAAGAAGCACTAGAAGTGGCGAGGAAGATGAGGAAGGTGATGGTTCTCTGGAGATGTTGAGCAATGGAGGGCCGGGTGCTCCTTGGATTAGACGCAATGTGTTTCAACGGCGTGTCACTGAAGGAACTGTGGATGCGCCTGAAGCGGCCGGTTTTCTCAACAATGACCATCCACATGCCCTGGAGGAGAGAGATGATTATGACAAAGAGGCTGCATCATAAGAACTAGCTTGTATTGCAAACTGCCAGTGTGTGTGTGTGTGTGTGTGTGTGTATGCACGCGGATGCGCAGGCGCACGGCACGCACATGTGTGTGTGTGTGTGTGTGTGTGTGTGTGTGTGTGTGTGTGTGTGTGTGTGTGTGTGTGTGTGTGTGTGTGTGTGTGTGTGTGTGTGTGTGTGTGTGTGTGTGTGTGTGTGTGTGTGTGTGTGTGTGTGTGTGTGTGTGTGTGTGTGTGTGTGTGTGTGTGTGTGTGTGTGTGTGTGTGTGTGTGTGTGTGTGTGTGTGTGTGTGTGTGTGTGTGTGTGTGTGTGTGTGTGTGTGTGTGTGTGTGTGTGTGTGTGTGTGTGTGTGTGTGTGTGTGTGTGTGTGTGTGTGTGTGTGTGTGTGTGTGTGTGTGTGTGTGTGTGTGTGTGTGTGTGTGTGTGTGTGTGTGTGTGTGTGTGTGTGTGTGTGTGTGTGTGTGTGTGTGTGTGTGTGTGTGTGTGTGTGTGTGTGTGTGTGTGTGTGTGTGTGTGTGTGTGTGTGTGTGTGTGTGTGTGTGTGTGTGTGTGTGTGTGTGTGTGCATACTTGAACTATTTTTAGGCCTCATATGCTTGCATTTGCCTGTGTGAGAGTTTGGCTGGGTCTGACTTTGCGTGTGATTGTGCATGCGTGGCATGTACATGTATGCGTGTATGTGTCAATCTATGCAATACCATCCTGAATTATTTCGCATCTGAGACATAATACTGCAAGTTAGTTCATGCATGTCATGCACTGACCAAAGTGACATAGCTGGATACTGGTACGGTATGCGATGTACAACTTCTGGATTATAAAATCACACTATGTGCAATTTGAGCGATTTGTTGCAAAAAAACGGTTCTGGAGCCGGAATTCAAATGCCGGAAAATGAACTGAAAGAATCTGTTTTGCCAGAAAGTGTGCTGGTTTGCAAGGGTGCTGGATAAACAAGTGCGGGATTAGAGAGGGACGACTGTGGTGGTGTTTTGGCCCACAATTTTGGGAACATTCTTGTTTGGAGTAGTGGATGGATTTTCATGAGGGCAGGAAGCAGTGCACACCGTAGCCGTGGGGGATATTTGGGTGCATGTTCATTCTGACAGTCAGTTGCAATGAAACGTTTTCTGCCCTCAGGAAGGTGAAAAATTATTTTTAAATAATTTTGTTCTTCACTAGTTTGAGGGAAAGAGACAAACGGGAAAAGTCTGAAGAAAAAATTGACTGTCACCACCATACCAGGACTCGAACCACATAATTTTGTTCACTACAATTCAAAAGTAGTAGTAGTGAACACGTGTGATGCCACCTCGTGAATGTGTCGTCTCAATGATTGTGTCTTCTTGACAAAGTTTCCAATGCAGAGTGCACACACAACCCACCTACAACTTGACTGTACTGTTACTTGTGCTGTCCAGCCCTTACAAGTCTCTTTACCCGGGTGTCGTCTGCCGTGTCGTGATTCTAGTTCTGACTGTTCTTAGCTGGTATGCGGCATGGGTTGAAAAGACTCAATCCAAATTGGACCACGGGAGAAAGTAATCTGCAGCAGTGTTATTATTCAAGCAAGTTATTGAGCTTATAAGCGCTGAACTGGTTTTCATAATATATAACAAGTAAGAAATAAAAAAAAGTCAGTGACCTTTTCTAGTCAAATAGAAGAGATCAACGGAGTGGTACTGGTAGTGCACGGTTCCAAAATAAAATAGAAAAAGGCGTATTTACAGCCCTAGAAGAATATGATATCAACTCAATACGGTCATATCAACGTTCAACATGACTAGTCCTTGTTAGCACAGCATACGTGCCTGCATGTTAGGGATAGGAAAGCAATGCTAGGAATTAGAAGCCTAGCCTAAATCTCAGTGCCTAACACAGCACTGTACACACCAGTATTATATTCCGCTAGTGTCACAATGAATTAGAGCAACTTAGAATGCCCATCGCAGAACTGACTAGACCAAAAGAGTCTGCTCACTGAGATTATTGCATATCAAACATGTGTTGCCAGGACTAACGTTTGGACATATTCCTATGTTCGGCAAAACTTCACATACCTAATGCCTATCGGCATATTCGGACCATTTTGGGAGAGAAGTCAGTTATGTAGAAAACTTATCTGAGATCAACACACTTTAGCACACTGTAGCATACTTAAGAATAGGTCAAAGACCAGAGTTGCAGAAAGAAGTGCCCGCTGTTTCTGGTGAAACACACTAATCTTCATTTTCCGAGTCACTGCTGCTGGCACTATTCTGGTCACTATTCATAAACGTTGAATTCCTGCGCTCCAGTTCACACGCCGTAGCTAGCAGTGCCAGTCGGTCGCCGGTTACACGACTGCTGCATTGGTCAATGGCAGGCCTTTGCGGTGTCTGCTGTACGTCAAACACATCACACGAATCCGCCGGGCAGCGTGCTACCTTCATCGGTGGCGAAGAGTCGTCGGATGCAGAACTATCTTCAGACGGCCGTTTTCTTGACTGCGGCATGGGCGGTTCAATTTGAGTGCTAGGATTGCTTGGCGCTGACTGGCTAACTAAAGAGTTTGGAGTAGGTATAGAAACATACAGGTGCTGTCCAGCTGGTGTTTGCATTGCTGCTGGCCTGTAGCACTGGAGATACGGTGATGGACGGTGTGGAGTACTAAACCCAGGTGCTATCTGAACCATGCCGCTTTGGTTGTACGCCGTCATCGTTGTCGGCGTAGCCATTACGCTACACATTGGCAGAGGCTGAGGTACTATAGTCGACTGCTGCAGTCTCTGAGCTTGTTCTTGCTCGGCATTAGTGTTCATGTTATTCCTGGGTGGGTCACGCTGTGCTGATGTGGGCGTCACTGGTATACTAGTGTTAGCATGGGGCATGCCGGCGTGTGCTGCCACCGCAGCAGCAGCAGCAGCAGCTCCAGGTGCTGATGTCTTCATAACAACAGGCCAGCTTGCCATACCCGGAGCAGCGTTCACAGGAGTGCCGTGTTGCTGTTGGTTGCTCGGTACGCAGGCTTGATACGGTGTCAGGGCAGCAGCTTGACTGGCTTGTGCGGGATAGCCAGTTTGGACAAGGCGCTCAGCTAAATCCAGCACGTCCTTGGAGAATTTGCGCCGGCCGACAAGCTGATCAAAGCATTTAGTGAATTCTTGCATGATCCCTTTCTGCACACACAGATTGTGAGAAGACCAGAAGAGAACAACGTAGAATGTCAAGCAGTCTCTTTGAAATCAACAACAAGTGATTACAGAAAGTGGTTGCAAGAAGCATTGTATGAGAAAACCACTATGCTCTTAGTCTCACCTTTCCTAGCTTGCTGACATCAAGGTCTGTCATTTCCTGCAGTCTGACACCTTGCTCCTTGATGCAGTCATTGATGCCCTGGCTGCGTTTGCGTTCGTTCAGATTGGCCTTGATACGCTTTTGTCTTCGTGCCTCCATCTCCCTAAAATGATGCAGAAGGAGCACAGGAAGAAAAAAAACACACACACTATTTTCGTAAGCTGGCAACAGAATGAACCCACCAAGGGAAAGGGTCATATTCGTACACCAACTAATCCTACGGCATTCTTCAATGTCTGCAGTTCCCCTTTGCCAGTAAAATTAATATCACCCATGAAGACTAGTGCGTATCAAACAAAGGAATCCATTTCATGCAGCCTTGCTTGGATGCAGCCAGTGAGGCCACTGTTGGTGGTGGCATCTGCCTGCAGGTACTCCTGTGCCACTGTATGGATATCCATGGTGTGTAGATCATGGCCGGGTGTTGTTAGCCACACATACACCTACACTCTCCCGCTTCATATTCCGGATACAGCCACATGCAGGCTATTTGCATCTTCCCCCATGCACCCCTACAACGTTGAGACATCAGACATCAGCCTAATAACCAATTGGCATCCAGCAGCACCAACTCATCTTGCCGCTGTGCAACTGGATAGTAGATCTACGTTCTAAGCTAACTCTACTCGCAAAGGTGTAGAGCTAGAAGTAAACAGGACGTCTCGCAAGTGTGTATGTGCGTGTGTGTGTGTGCGTGTGCGCGCGCGTGCGTGTGTTGCGTGTCACTAGCGACGCACGCTACAACTCTACACACATTCTAGTACTTGAGATTTTACGTGCACGTCAAATACCTTGTCTGCTAATCAGCTGTTCGATGGGCTTGTCTCGCTCGCGATCTACTCACCGACTTGATGGAATTCGAATGCATTACGGATGTGGATCGCGCGCCAACTCAAGAGAGAAGAAAAAGTCCCACCCCGGCAAGGCTAACATCAGCTGACACCAGCTTCTACCCGAAAAATGTTTCAGTCTCAACGCAACACCGGCAAGTAAGTTAGTTAGTTATTTGCAACCATCGATTTCTCTCCAAAATCAATCACATCAATGTGAGGTGAACACCCAAGTGCTGACAACTGTGAACAGCACGCCACAGACCTAAACCGCATAAGGAAAGCATGATGTAACACACGGAACTCTGGTACACGCTGCCTGACAATGCCCGCATGAGTACAAGTGTGTGAGGCGACAACAATCAACTCGACAGAAAAAAGCTGCCTACAACCCGCACTACAATAGTCGTGTTCCTGTTCCTACTGCTGCTGTTACTCCCTCGAGGCCAGCCCATGTTAGGCTTGGTCAGGCACATGGTGTGGTAGCGACAGTGCCACACTCCATCAGTCCATGTGCACCAGGAACAGCAACCACCCGGCACAATGCTCTCGTGTCTGACACAACAAGGAGATGCGATCCTCTCCGATCCTCGCAACGTCCATATCGTGCCAAGCTAAGAATAGCTGGGACGCCTTTGGAATTTCTTCATCGCTGGATAAGCGACTCGAGCCGCTCAGGCACGTCAGCTGATCTAACACATTCACACATGCACGCACAAATCGGCTAGCGGGCCTAGAAGCGGCACATTGACAGCTGCTACAGCGTTCATGGAGCGAAGCTGCAGGCAGAGAGCTCACAACCTAAGCACTTACGGCCCCACTGCCATCGCCACCGAAGCACTACGCGACCAAAGTGAGAATGGCCATATCACACACATACACACACGCACACATGGTACGAACGGAGCGCGGGAGGCCTAGGTGTGTACTCACTCACCTTTCGCAGTCTGTAATATCATCGCCAGTTGAGCTTGCCGTGGAGAAGTTTCTTTTGGCAAGTGCGGCAGGTTTCCTTCCCGGTGGTGGCGTCTGGCTACAGTCCACATCTCTGTCGCAGCCTGCGTCGTGCAAGTCCTCAGATCCTTGCCGCGTTATGTCCACACAATGGCCAGCGCTCGAAGACAACAGATTCGTAGCGTATGGTTGGCCTCCGTTATTCACACAGCCACTATTCCAATAGTGACTCATGCCCTCCAGTTCACGTTCAGGTGGTTTAGTATCCATTGTCATCATCACGATCTCGTTTTATTTTGATTCGCCTGAGAATCACCTTTTCTCGATCTCAAAAACGGGCACGCTCTCTCTCTCTCTCAGCTGATCCGCAGCAACGTGAGTCGTGACAGGATGAAACAAAGGCGATTGAATGAAAATGGCGTGATCCACGCAATTTGCGGAGTCGAGCTGGCAGACTACCTACTCTCCAAATGCCTAACAGCTTGGCAAGGCAACGAATCTCTTCCCCGATCTGCACCTCGACTTACTAGCTCCTATCACAACACAAGACTCAATCAGATTCACTGCACAGGACTGTGTCAGTGTGTGAGAACCACTGGAATTTTTCTGGCGCAGAAAAATTGGCGCTAATCCTCCACTGGTCCTTGAGTGCTCCGTGTGAGTTACTCATCGAAACGGTCACTAGTGATATGAAGCCTGATCGCGCTAAAACTCGACCAATCAGCGATCGTCTATACAAGAGAGTCACGCGAGATCCATCAGCTGACAGAACGATGTTCACGCGATCGCCACATCGTCATCGCGCCAGGTATGCGAGCACTTGCGTTTCATCGGGTAGTAGACTGGTCAGGTCTGGCAGTGGCATGCGCGCTGCATTTTTGTAGTAAATCGTAGCGCCTTTTGTCCAGCTAGTAGCGGCGGTACGTCCGCCATAGCCACATACACACATCATACTGCTCTACGACGCGTAGCCGCACTTTGGACGTCGCAAGTCCTGCTGCAAACGTTACTTTTTCATGTCCGCCGCCCGCTTTCACAACTTGGTCACGCTTGATCGCATGAGTGCCCATCCAAGAGGCTTTCAAAGCACGTTCTGAGTGCAGAACAATGATGGCGTTTTCCCGCTGCGTATCTTGGCGAGCATCACAAACTCCATGGAGTGTGCCAAAAATAGCTCGTGCCACGTGCACAATGCACTCAGCGACAGACCACGATTCGCGCTCGTAGTATGTAAAGCAAGACCTGGTCACCAAACTACCCCAACTATTACTAGTGATAGGGTCCATGAGGGGCTGGCTAGCCTAGTGCCTCTCTACTATTAGTATTACTATTATGGTAGTACTTGAGAACGGTTTTAAATTTTATTCGCAACACCATGAAGTAAGAGTCAAAGCAAAAAGACAACCCTGGTACACAATCAGTCATGTAGTACTAGTACTACTACTACAGTAGATCTACGTCTACGTGTCTCACTACGAGATCCTCTCGGACTAGATTTACTGACCATCGATACTACCGACTTGAACTCCGAGTAGTGATTAGTGACTTGTGCTGAAGTAAGAGTAGCCCTGGTCGCTAAACTAGGCATAGGCCATGAGAGACTGGCTAGCCTACGAGTCTCACTAACCACGTCGTTATGTTACAAGATCCTCTCAGCGTAGTGACTTGTGCCGAAGTAACTTCGTCCAACCTCCACGACTAAGACTGACTGTACAAGTGTTGTAATACTTAGACCGCGTCTTAGTTACGGAGATTGCTGATTGGGCCATGGATATGGTAGGGAGTTTAGGTGGTTTTACTTGGGAGAGATTTAAGTACAAAGGTCTGTTTTATCTGAAAGACCAACATATTACAAGACTGCAGAGAAAATTTCAGGTCAAAATTCCAAGGGATACCAAAGTTATGGTCTTTTGAAGTTCCGTGCTATTCACACTATACGTGCATAGTCTTTACATTGAGGATATGGCACATGCACTGTTTTCGGCCGTCCATAGCAACCAGCATGGCAACGGGAAAAAAAGCTCAGATTGCTTAGATTTTCTAGTTGCTTGATTGCCCCCCTCCACAAAACCTAGGGTTACCGTCAAAATTCAAATTTAACGGCCAAATTTTAAATATGGGCCTTAGCAACCACCATAGCAACCAAGCGATTAATGCAAGAAGTCCACTAGAAAGCGACATACTTGGAGTACTAAAGACCACAGATCGACAAATAGTAATACAGCAACGGGACAACAGTACCAACACATGCTGCAGGCTACAAAGCACTTCAGTTCACCAATGCATGGCAGTGCAACCAAAAATTCTACAAGAGAGAGAGAGAGCGAGTATGCGCCGGCCATCAACATTGACAGGAAAACGCAAAGCAACATGGTCCAATTCAACACCAGCAAAAAGCACAGTGGAACAAGTAGGGTGTCAAAGTGAAGACCTGGGCTTGCTGGGAACAGGGCACTCAGCGGAAGCAAAGAAAACTAAAGCAATATTAAATAGACCAATCATATTCACAATCACCGCACGCATGACTAAAAGGCGGAGTCGCACAACATGAGCATTGTGTAGGCGCACCAAGATCATCGTCATAATCAACACACACACACACACACTTGTACTTGCTCACTGCCAAAACTGGTCACGTGGGTCTCCCCGGGAGAGGGGAGAGAGACTCAAAAGGAATCTTGGAAAGATGACTCAATTGGCCATTGAACCACCCAACGGCCGACACCCCCTGAAATCCCCAAACTAGGGTGGACTTGAAATGATCCCACTTATGGGCTCACCACACCTCAGTAAGTGGGTGAGGACAAGGTGCAGAAAAAGGATTGACGGCATCAGGGTATCCGTCCCGGGATCCAACTGCAGGCACACACACACACACACACACACACACACACACACACACACACACACACACACACACACACAGAAGAATAAATAATTGTTATTGACTGTACAAATGTATAAACAGACGGAGTAGGCAGGTTCCTTCAACAGCAGGTCACTGGTTGGCAGTGGACGAGCTCGCTTCAGTGGCACTGCCTCCAGGTGTGGTGTTTTCACCTATCAGCTTCTTCAGGTTACTGACGAGTGTTGGAATCGGCAGGACACGGCCACCACTACTCAGGTAGAACAGCTCTTTCGCCGAATTCTGCCCAATAACAAACTTCCGGAACTGGAGCTGGGCCCGCAAGGCATCCCTCTGGCGAGTGACTGATGTCAACTTGGCCAGTTCCTCCTCGATGTTGGTCGTGCCTGTCCACAGCGTGTATGGCTCAATGGCCTTCGTCAATTGTTCCTGGCGAGCAATGTCAGCCTGGCGCTTAGCCTCCTTCTCCTTCTGTTTGCGCTTCAGCTCCGCCAGACGATGTTGCTGGATGGCTAGCCTTCTGTCCTTAAACTGCTGGCGAGCAGCTGGGGCAGTTGACCGAGCAACTTCCACTAGCCGGGCATGTTCAGATGGTGGCAGAGATCGGAGCCAATCGGTTGTTTCATTGTTGGCAAACATGATCATACCCTCCAATGCCACCGTTGCCGCATTCGGTTTCTCACGTTTCAGGCGATCCAGCTGGGCGAAATCTCGCTCGCTAATGGCATTAGTCTTCTGTACCGAAGCAGTTTCAGTGGCAAGTGTTGGCGCATGATGGTACTTCCCACCCGGTAGATGATCCGCCAGTAGTCGTGTTGTGAATGCTGCCAGGGTAGAACACAGGTACGCTAGAATCTCCAGAGTGAGGGCATCAGAAACCTCCGATGGCTCGACAAGCGCGGTGTAGACATCACAGACGACGGACACTTTGGCGTCGGAGAATGGCCGAGCACTGCCATCTAACAGGTTGCTTGCGTCAGTAGACCACTTCAGGAGATTGCTGTTCAGCTCAGTGTAGTACTTGCTGACCTCGAGAATTGACACCTTCGGGTCTTCCAGCAGGCACCACAACGGACCAATGACCAGCTTCGACAGCAGACCAAGCGCTCTAGCACCAGCCACAAACTCTGCCACACCCAAATCAGCCTTCACGGCACGTAACAACTGGTTATCCCTCACAGTTACCTCCGTGAGAAAATGCAACATTTTTTCATGCAGGTAATACACACCAGCACCATTCCTGAACACCACATATGACCTGTTTCCTCTATACTCCTCCAGGGGCAATTTGGTGTTGGTTTCTGACAGAAACGCGTGAAAGTCAGCCACACAACCAGCAGCCTCATCGCCATGCCTTTCAAATGCCTTCGAAGCTGAATAGATGAGCCGTGCAACGCCACCATTCCCTTGCCACGTGCCATGGAGAAGTTCAGCACCAACTCGGACATCTTTCCCAAAGTGTGCAACCTCCCACAATTTCAGAGCAGCTGTGCAGCTATCGGCCAAGCCAACAATATAGTGCATACCACAATAAAAATTGTTGACCCTTCCCATGGTAGCCTGCTCATCTTCACTGAGTTCTTCCCAACCATCCACAACATCAGGCAAGATGTCCTTGCGGTATTCCTCCAATAGAACATTGTAGGACTTCTGAACTACGCACCTGTCACTCATTGTATTCTTCGTGTTCTTTACAATGTGCTTTGCTACATCGGTCTGGCCTGAAGCAGATGCTACACTGTCAATGTCACCCAGAACTTGCTTGAACATTTCAAACACATGCTTGGCTGTACCATTTTTCATTTCAACCATACCCAGGCTGTATGCTTTTTCATTGGTTGCCAGCTGGAAGCTCTGAAAGCTGGTACCCTGCTTCGACGTGCCATCACTGTGGCTGGTTGTGAACTGAGCATCAGAAGCGGTACTAGCTACATGCAACTGTGAAATTTGCCGTAACTCTACCAACATCTTGGAGGCAGTAGCTGCAGATGGAACTTCCGAAATTCCCACATTTGCTAAGCGCAAAACTGAACGTATCACAGACCCAAGATTCCACACACCCACGTTCTTTGCAAGGAGGTCATAGCAGCACTGACGCACCTCTGGTGTGTATTCACCATCCACCTTCGCTGTAATGTGCTGGCACTGCTGCATGGACCGTTCCACATCTAACTCAGCCTGTAATGCACTCACTGTTCTCTTTAGTTCCTTCTCCCTTTGCCCACAAGCAAGAAGCTCTTCTGTCACGTCACTCACGGCAGAACTTGTGCTGGAGCTCTTAGATTTCTCGTATGAAACTCTGCAGTACACATTGTTGAGCTTACGCCTGAGGGTTTCGACTGTTTCTAATGCACTGCCCAACTGCTCTTCCAAATCTTCCTTGCTCTCCTCCTCCCCCTCCACTCTTTCACCAAGCCTGGCCAACTGGTCATCATACTTGATCAACTGGTCATCTCGGCGGCGTAATTTCTTCCCAAGATTCCGAATTTTGCTTTGTGAAGCATGCAACCTATCCTGCAACTGCAAGGTAACTGAGTCTTCAGTTTGCATTGCATCCACTGCATGTCCTTCACCCTGTGCTTCAGAACATATCTCACTGCCACTGGTATTTCGGTCAACATCACCCATTCCATCTTCACTACTAGTAGTACCACCACTACACGCATGCACAGATGTAGTGCCAGAATAATGCTCTGGTCGTGTTTGGCTTTGAGGGTATGCAAATTCCTCACTGCAGAGTGTGGACAGAGACTTGTGATCGGATGCTTT